CCAAAAAGTATTATTGTTTTATACATTCAACATTTGTTGGTATTTACCCACATATTCATATCTTTGCTTCTTATTCCTTCTTGCATCTTGAACCTTCCACTTAGGATCATTTGCCTTCTTTTCTGACTGCTTTTTTCCCCATTATTTTTTTTAAACTTAATCTTTATTGTTGAATGTATTACAAATGTCCCCCACTTTTTACCCCCATTGACCCCCACCTCCCTGCTCCCGCTCCCCTTCTGCCTTACCCACACTATTGTCTGTGTCCATTGTTTATGCATATTTGCATATAAGTTCTTTGGTTTATCTCTTCCTGCCCCCTCATCCCCTTGAGGTTCGTCAGTCTAACAAGCAATTGGTACTCCTCCAGCATAGGGAGGCAGCTTGAAAGACACCAGAGATATACAGGAAGAACTGTGTTGTTTGGCACTGGGGCAAGAGCTGGAGAGGCAGCTTTCTTCCAGATAGATGTGCTGGTGGAGGTCGTTGTTCCTTTGGTGAGCCCTTCCCCCACTTTAGCCCTGCTGAAGTAAGTCTTGCTCTGTATGGTGGGCCCTGAACAGCTGATCCTCCATGGTAGTCAGAGGTCAGTGTAGTGGGCACAGCCAGTCCTCGCAGCTGATCAGCCTGAGTAAATACCTCCCATTGATGTGCCAAGAGCAATCAAGATTAAACTACAACAGAAGGGTGGGCAATTCATACTAGGGGTACACCTGGAGGGCCTAGCTGGGGTGACCAGGGAAGCTGTGCCACTGGATCCTACAGGACATGTATTACAATAGGCAACCCTAGGAAGCCTAAGAGATACAGCAGCTCTACCTAATACATAGAAACAAACACAGGGAGACAGCCAAAATGAGGAGACAAAGAAACATGTCCCAGATTAAAGAACAACAAAACTCCATGAAAAGAACTAAACGAAACAGAAATAAGCAATCTAACAGATGCAGAGTTCAAAATATTGGTGTGTAAGGATGTTTAAGGAACTTACTCAGAATTTCAAGGAACTTAGTGAGGACCCCAACAGCATAAAAAAGGACCAGTCAGAAAGAATGCACTAACTGAAATAAAGAATAATTTACAGGAATCAATAGTAGAGTAGGTGAAGCCAAGAAGCAAGCCATCAATTTGCAATACAAGGAAGCAGAAAACATCCAGTCAGAACAAAGAAAAAAAATGAGGATAATGTAAGGAGCTTTTGGGACAACTTCAAGCATACCAACATGTGCATCATGGGGATGCCAGAAGGGGAAAAGAGAAATCAAGAAATTGAAAACCTATTTGAAACAACAATGACAGAAAACTTCCCTAACGGTGAAGGAAACAGATATACAAGTCCGGGAAGCACAAAGAGTCCTGAACAAGATCAACCCAAAGAGGTCCACACCAAGAGACATCATCATCAAAATGCAAAAGGTTAAAGAGAGAATCAAAAGTAGCAAGAGAAAAGCAGTTAGTTTACCTACAAAGGAGCTCCCATAATACTGTCAGCTGCGCTTGGCTGGTGTGGCTCAGTGGTTGAGCACCAACACCTGCACCAAGAGGTCGCTGGTTTGATTCCCGGTCAGGGCACAAGCCCAGGTTGTGGGCCAGATTCCCAGTGGGGGCGTTCAGGAGGCAGTCAGTTGATATTCTCGTTCATCAATGTTTATATCTCTGTCCCCCTCTCCCTCTCTCTCTAATCAATAAAGAAAAATTTTTTTTTTTTTTTTTTTTTTTTATCCTCACCAGAGGATATCTTTCTATTTTTTGTACAGATAGAGTGGGAGGGAGAGAGAGGAAGGAAGAGAGAGAGAGAAACATCGACGTGAAGGGACACATCGAGTGGCTGCCACCCGCACGACCAACCAGGGCCAGGGACAAACTGCAACCGAAGTACGTGCCCTTAGCGGGAACCGAACCCGGGTCTCTCCGGACCGCAGGCCGACGCTTTAACCGCTGAGCCAAACTGGCCAGGGCAAGAAAAAAAATTTTTTTTAATGAAAGACTGTCAGCCGCTTTCTCAAAAGAAATTTTGCAGGCCAGAAAGGAGTGGCAAGAGATATTCAAAGTCATGAAAAGTATGGACCTACAATCAAGCTTACTCTATTCTACAAAGCTATCATTTAGAATTGATGGACATAGAATTTCCCAGACAAGAAAAAGCTAAAGGAATTTGTCACCACCAAACCAGTATTATATGAAATGTTGATGGGTCTTCTTGAAGAAGAACAAAAATATGAACAATACAATGGCAATAAATGTATATCTATCAACAATTGAATTTGCAAACAAAATGCACAAGCAGAACAGAAATAGATTCATAGATACAGATAACTTTTTGTTGGTTGCCAGATGAAAGGGGGATTGGAGGAATGGATGAAAAAAGTGAAGGAATTAAGTACAAATTGGTTATTAGACTGACGAACGTCAAAGGGAAGAGGGAAGGGCGGCTGGAAGAGATAAACCAAAGAACTTATATGCAAATATGCATAACCAATGGACACAGAAAATAGTGTGAGGAAGGCAGAAGGGGAGTGGGAGCAGGGAGATCAGGGGTCAGTGGAGGTAAAAAGGGGGGTCATTTGTAATACATTCAACAATAAAGATAAGTTTAGAAAGAAAAAAACAGAAAGAGGAAATGCCTGGGACTCCAGAAGCCTCAGCCTTCCTCAACCTCAATTCCTGCTGGTTTTTACAGCCAGAAGTTTTATGGGGACTTCTCTTCCTGGCACTGGAACCCTGAGCTGGGGGCCTGGTGTGGGATGGGGACCCCTCAGGGAGGACCTTCCCAGCCGAGGTATCCCTCCTGATTTTTATCCACCACAAGTGGGTGTGGGACCAGTACAGCCAAGCTCCGTTCCTCCTCCCAATCTCAGTGTGGCTTCTTTAATTTTGTATTTGGAGGACTTCCATGCAGCTCGATTTCAGACAGTTCTAAATGACAGTAATTCTGTAGTTTAGTTGTAACTTTGATGTGGTTGTCAGAGGAGTCAAGTACTGTGTTTACACGCCTCCATCTTGACGGGAAGTCTCTGATTGGTTTTAAGACCTTTTTTCCCCCTTGATATTTGTCTATTAATTCCAGTATCTTCAGGCTTCAGGGTCTGTTTCTGCTCATGGCTTCTTAAGTGTTTTGTAATTTTATTATTGGAAGTTGCCCATTTTTCGTGGAAAGTCATCAATGGAGCTTGCATTGTTTCCAATGGAAAATGTACTCAGTTCTTAACTCTTTTCCTGTATTATTCAACTGATCATTTTTTTCTCTGACTTCTTTTAAGATATTGTCTTTGTCACTGGTTTTGAGCAATTTGATTATGATGTGCCTTGGTGCTTTAGGTTCAAGGAGCTTTTTTGTCGACTTATAATTTTCATCAAATTTTAAAAATATTTAGCCATTTATTCTTCAGATATTTTTTCCTGTTCACCTGCCACCTTTTAGGGACTCCAATTTTACATTTATTAGGCTGCTTTAAGTTGTCTTATGGCTCATTGATCCTCTATTATTTTTGTTTATTTTTCTCTGTGTTTAATTTTGGATACTTTATACTGTTATATCTTCAATGCACAAATCTTTTTTGCTGCAGTATTTAATCTGCTATTAATTCCACACAGTGTATTTTTCATTGTACACATACTTTTCATCTCTAGAAATGTGTCTTAACTTTTTGAACATCTGGAATAGTTATAACTATTTGAATGTTCTTGCCTGTTACTTCTACCAGGTGTATCAGTTTTGATTGATTGGTTATTCTTAGTATTATGGGCTGTGTTCTCCTGCTTCTGTGTATGCCTGATCCCTCTCAAGCATTTGGCAGGATACTGATTTCCTTTTGTATACAAGGAAACTATCTGATTTTGGCAAAAGGCCATAAGAAGGATTAGAGGGAACAGTACCTAACATTTACCCAGAGCCGGAAATAGTGTCTGTTCCCTCCAACCATACTGAAGAAACTTGTAATTCATAGGATATTGAGTATATAGGAAGCTCTTGCCTCATTACTAGAGAATAATTAGCCCCAGACTGAATATTGCTCAAGATCTACCTAACAAATCATGAAAGCGAGACCTGAAAGGATCAGACTGTTTCCAAGTAACTGCATCCCAGAACAAAGCTTAAGATTTATAGGAATACACAAATATCCAGAACTCATTAAGGTAAAATGCACTGTGTCTCTATTTCTGATCTTTTTTTTTTTAATTTACCATGTTGACATTTAAAAAAAAATGTTTTTATTGATTTTTCAAAGAGGAAGGCAGAGAGAGATAGAAACATCGATCGGCTGCCTTCTGCACAGCCCCTACTGGGGATTGAGCCCAAAACCTGGGCATGTGCCCTGACCAGGAATCGAACCGGAACCTCTTAGTCCATGGGACAACACTCAATCCACTGAGCCACACTGGTCGGGCTGATCTATTTCTTTAAAAAAAATTTTAATTATAATTTTTTTAATCCTCACCCGAAGATATTTTTCCATTTATCTTCAGATGGGGGGGGGGGAAGAGAAAGAAACAATGATGTGAGAGAGACACATCAATTGGTTGCCTCCTGCATGACCCCAACCAGAGCTGGCTACTAAAGCAAAACCCAGGTACATCATGCCTTTGACCGGAATCAAACCTGTGACTCTTTGGTCCACAAGCCGACACTCTAACCGCTGAGCCAGACTGACCAGGGCTAATTTTTTTATTCTTTATTGATTTTAGAGAGAGAGGAAGGGAGAAGGAGAGAGAGAGAAGCATTGATGAGAGAGAACATTGGTTGGCTGCCTCCTGCATGCCCCCCACTGGGGATTTGACCTACAACCTGGGCATGTGCCCTGACCAGGAATTAAACCTGTGACCTCTTGGTGCATGGGTCAATGCTCAACCACTAAGCCACACCGGCTGGGCTCTATTTCTTAATTATAGTAAGGTTGAACATCTTTTATGTGTTTATAGTAATTTGTATTTTTTATGTGAACTGCCCATTCCATCTTTTACCTATTTCTTTTTTTTGAGTTGTTGGTCTTCTTTGTTAGGTATCTGGCTAATACAGTTGAAGAAGATGAAGAAGAATCCAAATATGAAATTTTTCCATGGGCTTTAGGGAAAAACTGGAGAAAATTGTTCCCTAATTTCTTAAAGTTAAGGGACCAACTCTGGGATAGAATTGACTATAGGGCTATTGTAAGCAGGCGATGCTGTGAGGAGGTAAGATTTAAAATGCTTTATATATGTAATCTCTGCCTTCTGTTCATACAAATCCTTGTCTTATTTTTTAATGTGCTTCTAACATTTTATTTTTTTGTATTTATAAGGGCAGACCATTAGCCTTGATGGTTACCATGAATGCAACTTGAGTATTGCAATGGTGATGTTTTAATTGTATACTGAAAGCTTTTAAAATGATCATTTCTGTTTTTCAGAGCAGCCTACTTATTTAAAAATTTTTTTAAAAAATCCTCACCCAAGGATCTTTTTCTATTTATCTTCAGATAGAGTGGGAAGGAGGGAGGAAGAGAGAGAGATAGAGAAAGAGAAACATCAAAGAGAGAGGGATACATCGACTGGTTGCCTCCCTAACAATCCCGACTAGGGCCAGGGATGAACCGCAACTGAGGTACATGCCCTTGATGGAATCAAATCCGTGATTCACTGGTCCTTGGGCTGACATCAGAGCAGCCTACTTTTGTAGTATTTTTATTTTAGTGTGCTTCTCTTATGTAGAAGATCACCAATATATTGGAAAAGGATAATGTGCATATTTTAAAACATCCTATGGCTATCATTGTAGTTGAATAGTAATTTGTATTAAAGTATATGAAATTTCAAGTCCTAAAGATTGAAATGTGAATTGCATGATATAAAATTTATATAAATTTAAATATGTTTAAAAACCATACCTTTTTTTTATTTTACATAGAATACATAAAGTTTCCTTGCCAGATTTTATTAAGATCAAGAAGAAAGACACTAAAAATTAAGATTGGTTATTTTATCAAATTTTCTGGTTTTCAATAAAGAAGAAAATTAATGTTTAAACTAAGGAAAAATTCTAGAGTAGAAAATTGAAGTCAATGATAACTGTAAGCTAGTACTAGTTTAGAAAACTGGTAAATATGAGCTGGATAATGCTATAATTAAATGAAGTCATATCCAATTAAATGAACTATAGGCCAAAAGAGACAATGGATTAGTGTCACATCTAAGGGAGAACTTTGGAGGTGTCACAAAACTCTGCTCAGAATTAACCATGTTAATTTTATTTATTAATGATAAAGATATAGCAAGTATGCATATTTGAAGGTTAAATTAGGATTGTTGAATGTTGGAAAACATGCAAGGATTCAGAGATAACTTTGAAAACTGTACAGTAGGCCAAGTCTTACTGTATTACATTACAAGATTAAATCCAGTAGAAAAATATGAAAAGTGGGTGTATAAGTCCCCCATAATTTAATGGATCCTCAATTATTAAAGGATTTCAAAGACTCCTTCCAACAGGCATTGAGTCTTGTATTGTTATTTTTGGTCACTACCTCATCATGTCAAGAGGGGTAATTTGTGAACCTGTTGCCATCCTTGGACCTGATAGTCCAAGCAAGGCCTTATTTGAACATGCTGATTTTTTTTTTTTTTTTTTCAAAATAAACACTTCAAGCTCCTTGGAAGCGCTGACTAAGAGCATGGAGAGGGCACTGGAAGTAGAAGGACAGAATAGGCAATCTTCACCTCATGGTAGACTGCCCACCTACTTCTGAGATACAACTAGTATTTTTTGTTGTTGTTAATCCTCACCCAAGGATATTTTTCCATTGATTTTTAGGTAGAGTGGAAGGAAGGAAGGGAGAGAAGTAGGGAGGAAGAGAAGGGATTGAGAAAGAGAAAGGGGGGGGGGGGAGAAAGAGAGAGAGAAAGAAACATCCATGTGAGAGAGAGACATCAATTGGTTGCCTCCTGCACAACCCCAACTGGGGCTGGGGATGGAACCTGCAACCTAAGTCTGTGCCTTGACCAGGAATCGAACCCAAGATGCTTCCATCCTCAGGATGATGCTCTATCTCACTGAACCAAACCATCCAGGGCCAACTAGTATTTTTTTAATTACAACAATTTTAATTTATACTATTAGAGCTGGAATTTCCACAGTTGTTGGCACCAGACGATTAAAGAGCCAGAGAATGGAGTGGCCTAATGGTGTATGAGTAAAAGACTAAAACGTTTCAGACAGCTGTAAACTTAGTTGTACAATGGGACTTAAGAAAAGTTGAGTTTCTCAAGAATTTATTTTGGAGAACTAACAGATCTTTCTACTAATTTCAGATCTGCATATCAAATTTCCTATTCATATTTCATTATCTAGTAGATATTTCAAACTTAACATGCCAAAAATTGAATTTTGATTTCCCCACATAGACTTCCAAACCAGTTCCTCCTGCAGTCTTCCTTCTACATGTTAATAAATGGTAACTTTATCCTTCTAGTTGTTCAGGCCAAAAAACTGTCACCCTAGACTTTTTTTTGTATCCATATCTTTTAAAAATATTCCGTTTCCTGCCATTTCTCACCTCCTCGACCACTAAAACCTACTTTGAATGTTATCTCTTGCTTCAATTATTGCCATAACTTTCAAGTAGTCTCTCTTATAACCTTTTTTCCCTGTAGTCTATTCTTCATACACCAGCCAGGATAAATCTTTTACAAGGTAAGTCAAATCATGATTTCTCTACTCAAAAGTCTTGAGGGCCCTGGCTGGTGTGGCTCAGTTGGTTGAGTGTCGTCTGGTGAACCAGGGGGTTGCCCATTCGATTCCCCCATCAGGGCAAATGCCTGGGGACATGTAGGAGGCAGCCAATCGATATTCAATGTCTTGCATTGATGTTTCTCTCTCCTTGTCCTTCCCTCTCTAAAAATCTTAAAAAAAAAAAAAAAAGGCCTCGGGGCCTCCCATCTCACACAGAGTAAAAGACAAAGTCCTTATCATGGCTCTACATGATCTGCCAACTCTCCTCATCTCTTTGACTTCATCTTTCATCCTTGCTCACTCCACTGCAGCCACAGTGGCCTCCTTGCTGTTCTCATACACATCAAGGGCACTCCCACCTCAAGGTCTTTGTATTTGCCATTTCCATGACCTGGTTTCCCCCCAGATATTAGTATGTTTCACTTCCTCACTTCATTTAGGACTCTGCTTAAATGTTACCTCATAGAAACCTTTCCTGCCCACTTTATATAGAGTATCTCACTCAGTAGAATAAATAGAAGAGTCTAGAAATAAACCCTCACATTTATGTTCAATTGAATTTTGACAAGAGTACCAAGAAAATTCAATAGGGAAAGAAGATTCTTTTAACAAATGGTACTGGTACAACTAGATATCCACATGCAAAAGAATGCAGTTGGACCTCTACTTTATTTCATATAAAAAAAAAACCAAAAAACTAACTCAACATGTATCAAAGACCTAACTGTAAGAACTAAAAACTATAAAACTCTTAAAACATAGAGCTAATTCTTTATAAACTTGGATTAGTTTTCTTAGATACAATACCAAAAGCACAAGCAGCCCTGGCCATTTGGCTAAGCGGTTGGAGTATTGGCCTGGGACTAGAGAGTCCCAGGTTCGATTCCTGCTAGGGGCACATACCAAAAAGAAAAAAGCACAAGCAACAAAATAAAATATAGACAAAATGGATATCATCAAAGTTTAAAACTCATCCTCCAAAGGAGACACCATCAAGAAAGAAAAGACAACCCACAAAATGGGAGAAAATTTTTACAAATCACCAGTCTGATAAGGGACTTGGATCTACAATATAAAAAGAGCTCTTACAAGTCAATAATAAAAAGGAAACCCAATTTAAAAATGTGCAAAGGATCTGAATAGGCATTTCTCCAAAGAAAATACACAAATAGGCAAAAAAAAACACATGAACAGATGCTCAACATTAGCCATCAGAGAAATGCAAAATCAAAATCTCAAGAAATAACACTTCACACCCACTAGGATGGCCACCATAAAAAGACAGATAATTACATGTGTTGGAAAGAATGTGGAGAAATTCAAATCCTCAAACACTTCTGTTGGGAATGTAAAATGGTGTAGTTGCTTTGGAAAACAGTCTGGCAGTTCCTCAAAAAGCTGAACACAGTTCCATATGACTCAGCAATTCCATTCCTAGTTAAATAGCTAAGAAATGAAGACTATGTCTACAAAACTTGTACATAAATGTTCACAGCAGCATTATTTATAATAGAAATGTCCAGAAACTAATGAATAGATAAACAAAATATGCTCTATCCATACAATAATATATTACTTGGAAATTAAAAGGAGTGAAGTACTGATACATGCTATATCATGGATAAAACATGAAAACATTATGCTAAGTGAAAGAAGCCAGTCACAAAGGACCACACATTGTATGATTCTCTTTATATAAATGTCTGAAATAGACCAAAAGAGATTGGAAGTAGATTAGTGGTTGCTAGGGGCTGAGGGAGGAAAGAATGGGATGTGACTGCTGTCTTTATAGAATGATAAAAATGTTCTTAAATTGACTGTGGTAATTAATGGTTGTGTAACTATGAGTATACTAAAAGCCATTAAATTGTACACTTTAAATGGGTGAATTGTATGGTACTTGTACAATAAGGCTGTTAAAATAAGAAGTACCATACCACTATTAGTATTCTTTTTCCTGTTTTTCTTCATAGCACTTAACTACCATATAACATACTCTTTTTACTTATTTATCTTGCTAATGTCTATTTCCCTCTAATTGAATATAAATCCCAAGAGGGCAGGGTCTGTACTTTGTTCTTACTGTATCTCCACTGCCTAGAACAGTGCTTGGCATATAGTAGATACTCAGCAAATATTGCTAACTGACAGAATGGTTGAAACTTAAAGCTTCCAATTCTTTTTCATACCAGTTTATCCATGAAATAGGAAAAAAAAAAAAAAAACTTTAAAACAATTGTTCACTGAGCTCACTTAGCCCTTACTTTAGTGGCAGATAGATACGCTATTTTCTTTTTTCTCTTCCAACCAGGTATACTTCGATCATGTTGGTATATAGGAAAGGTAACTACCTAGTAGAATTTTATCCTGTTCTCTTAAGTATTCATTCAACAGCTAATTTATGAGGAAGACACCAAGTTTAGTGTTTATTATAAAAAACTGTTACATTATCCTTGTCCTGAAGTTTGCTGCATTAAAGTAGCAAGACATGCTTAGAAATTTTGTTAAGTACTCTATGCATTTGTTATTGAGAGCCTGGTACTGCCAAGTCGTTTCTTTAGTTCCACATCATAAAATAGACCTGGGAGGATAGTAGCTAGAAAGTAGTTTATAATAATAATATTCTACATTTGCATTATACTTTATAAATTCAGAAATATTTTCAAATATCCTCACAAAAATGCCTGTGAGGGTTGTAGATTTCTCATTTTAAGGCTGATGAAACTGAGCACCAACAAGGCTGAGATTTACTCAAGATCTACATTAATTGTCAGAGAACTTGACTGATGACTAATGACTTCACAGTGTTCTGTTTTCTCTGACATCTAGCTTCCACCTCTCATTGATTAGTTTAGAAAATGCATTTACTTCTGTTATGTTATTTTTTCTCAGGAATTAAACAGTATAAGTATTCTCCATTTTACATATGGAGAAACTGGCATAGAAAGGTTGTGACTAGTTCATGGTCATTCAGTTAATAAGTGGCAGGGCCAGCTAGAACTTAAATTCAGCACTATTTCTATTATACACCACTGTCAAAAGAACTTATTCTCTTCTTTGAGATAATGTGAATTTTGTATCTTGTCTCCTATTATTTAAACCCTGGCTACTGCAGAGAAGCTAAGAGCCAACTTTTATCCTTAACCACATTAACTCTTGCCCTTTATTACTGACATGTCTGCCTTCCCACTTTAGGTATATTTTCCCTTTTGTGTCCTAGTTTAATGAAAATTTTATTTGCTCTTTTTTTCAACTGCCTCATATCCTTTTTTTGGAAAGAGATGAAGTATGATTAAGTTGACAGGTGTATGTAAGGCTTCTCCAAAAGAGAATAAAGATTATTTCAACCTACTTACTCTGATCTTCTTACAAACATCTTATCTTTTTGGACATCAGCTTCTCTGAGGAGGAATTTATTTAGATTGGTAATAGCTTAATTTCTAGGTTGGTTCACAGATTATGGAGGATGCCAATCTGATGAGAAAGAGTTAAACCCTGGTAGCAGTTTTATCAAGAGGAAGCTTTATTCTTATTATGTACTCTGGCCTAGATGGCACAGTATTGTCATAGCTGGTTTCTCTGTCAGCTATGACTTGGTTTTACATTAGGAATTTAGAAAGAAAGCAATGATGTGATATAAGCAACGTTATGAACAAAATAATCCAATGACCGTATGCAGAGAGACCAATGCTAGAGAAGGGTGGGTGCTAGAGACTGCTACACTTGCTGTAGATCAGGAAGCAAGGTGTAAACCTAATGCCAAAGAAACATCAATGTTACAAAGTTATTATTATTTGGTGACCAGTTGAATATAGGGCATATAGGAAAGGGAACTGTCAGAGTTTCAAACTTACATAACAAAAAGAGTGATGGGTTCCATAATGCAAACTGGTTTATTGGGAAGATAAGGAATGTGGTATTAGACATGAATTTAAGGTGATAATCGGATAATTAAGTGAATTGTCCACAGGTCCACATAAAATGAGTCATCACATGCAAGTGATGTATAAGACTAGGTAGAGAAGATAAGAGATCCAAGGTGACAATAATATTCTTTTGAGCATTTGCCAGGCACTGTTCTAAGTACCCACATGTACTAACACACAATTCTTAGTGAGCTAGGTCATCCCACGTGAGGAAATGGAAGCATAGAGAGGCTAATGACTTCTCCAAGGTTACAGTCAGTAAAGCAGCATACCAGTATTCAAACCCAGGCAATCCGACTCCAGAGTCAGTGTTATTAAGACTTAAATTATACTACCTCTTGAGGTTACAGAGAAGATAATGTATAGAAATCAAACACAAAAAATAACAGGAGGCCAAGTATTTTATTTTAAATATGTTTTCATTGATTTTTTTAGAGAGGAAAGGAGAGAGAGAGAAACATCGATGTGAGAGAGATACATCCATTGGCTGCTTCCTGCATGCCTCCTCCTGGGGATTGAGCCCAAAATTGAACCAGGACTTCTCAGTCCATGGAAGGACACTCAATCCACTGAGCCACACTGGCTGGGCAAGTATTGTATTTTAGAAACATCCACCAAAGACACCAAAAAAAAAAAAAAAAATCTCTAAAAATGACAGAAGACTAAGATAAAGTAAAAACTAGGAAAATATTTTTAGTAGGTCAAACACTAATGCTTCAACAAAGTCACTTTCATATAATCATAGAATTTGATGACTAAGTGACCTGTTTTCTAACACATAAAAGACACCTTTCCCAGTGGTTAGAGCATCGGCCCTTGCACCAAAGGGTCATGGGTTCGATTCCTGGTCAAGGGAACATACCTGGGTTGCAGGTTTGATTCCTAGCCCGTCAGGTGCGTTAGGGAGGCAATAAATCGATGTGTCTCACATCAGTGTTTCTCTCCACCCCCTTGTTGCTCTCTCCCCCTCCTTCCCTTCTGCTCTAAAAATTAATGGAAAATATATTCTCGGGTGAGGATTAAAAAAAAGACACCTTATGGCCCAGAAAGTTCATTAATTTGCCTAAGGCCATAGAGCTAATAGAATCGAGACCAAAATCCTGCTGTCTTGACCCTGGTACAGTTTTCTTTTTAACTCATTATCACAGTACCATTCTAATTTGTGTATAAAATGTGTTTAGATTATGCCATAATATATATTTAAAAGTAAACAAGTGCATGTACATTCATTTTTCTAGCTGAGTTAGCATGTGGTGAGACAATGATTATAAGCATAGCTTACTGCAGAATAGTCTACCAAACCTATTTTGTATCCTTTACTTTATTACTTCCCTCTGCTCTTCTCATTAGACTTTGCTATAATATTTCTGTAAAAGTCAACGTTAGTGAAGGTTCATAATGTCAGTGGCCTCTAGTCCTTATTTTTTATCATTAGAAATATTTAATGACTGCATAATATTCTGCGGAGGGCATTTAATAGAGAGGGATATGAGAAACTATTCCTTCACAGAGAGGGCTTTCAGGAGAATAGATTGCATGCATAAAAGGATATATCTGAGTACTAGATGCTTATATGCTAAAAGTCCTAATATAGCATTAACAATAAAACAAGAAAATCTGAAAGCTAAAGTTTTTAGAAAAGGGGGACTTAATGCTGTGCATTGAGGGAAAGGTAGCACTAAGACAAAGGGAGAGGGCAATCCAGATATGGGAAATAAAGACATTGAAGTGTTAAGGAAAAATAGTAGATAAATATAGTCCAGCCAGTGTGTCTCAGTGGTTGAGCGTTGACCCATGCATCGGTTCAATTTCCGGTCAGGGCACATGCCCAGGTGGTGGGCCAAATCCCTAGTGGGGGGCATGCAGGAGGTGGCCAATCCATGTTCTCTCTCATTGATGTTTCTCTCTCTCCCTCTCACTTCTTCTCTGTGTAAAATCAATAAAGGAAAAAAATAGTAGATAAATATAGAAGGAATAAGAAATTCTGATATTCTGCTTTCTCTCTTAGGTAGCTCTGAAGCTAGTTTCATATTGTTATAGATATGTTTATAGAGTTAATACCTTTATTTACTTCTACCTTTTTAAATGTGTGTAACTTTATTACATGTCTTTGGTTGAAAACTTTTTGAAGAAGTGAATTATAAAATCAATCCTAAAATATACTTTTTAAACATTAGCGTAGCTAGTAATTCTTTATGCTATTATCTTGGGGAAGGCTACAGAAATCCCATTTTCTGAAGGGATTGTTCTCAATCTGGGGGTTTTAAGGTATTCATTTTTAACAGCAAAAGCCTTTTTTCTTCCCGAATAATATTTTACACACAATCCCCCAAATTGAGCTGCTCTGCCTGCTCTATTTCCCTCCTAGGGAATCCTCTTTGGACCTGCCCCAAATATAGTCTGTGAAATCTCACGGCTCCTCAAAAACAGTTTCAAAATCACTGGTCTGGACAATTAATAGGGCACTGTCTAACTCTTAAATTTTACAATTTTCATTTACCTTGGGTCACTGATAACTGCAACTAAACATTTTTGTTTAGAAGTAGCATTCTGCTTTGGGGTTTTAGACATCATGAGGTCAGCATATAGGTAGGCTTTCCTAGCTTGACTTCTTAAATAGCTACCATTTGCCAGTTGCTTATAATATGAGACAGATTTTACACATATCTAACCCTCAAAACAATCCTATGAGGAAGATAATATTCCCATTTTAGACATAAAGAAATTGAGCCTCAGAAAGGTTAAGTAACTTGCCCAGTATCATACAGGTAGCAAGTGGCAGAACCAGCATAAGAAACTAAGTCTATCCTGATTCTAAAGGCAGTATTTTATCTAACAAACCTTAGACAACAATGCCTAATATGTAGTGAGGAATGTTTAGTGCTTTATAAATAATTCAGTCCTAGAAACAACCCTCTAAAATAGACACGTTCTCTTCATGTTACAGATGGGGAAACTGAGGAACAGAAAGGTTAAGTAACTTACCTGTGTTCTTACCATATCCCTTGCCATAATTGCAAATGTCTTAAGATTAGCCTAACATATGTAGTTGGAAACCTCAATTAAACATATTCTTTTCAGCCAAGTATATTCCAAAGTTGTTAATTGTTTTGGGATAACTATTGTTTTTCACAAATTTAAAATAATCAGAATTGAAAAGCCTGGAAGGTTGCTTCAGCCCTATTTCCTATTTGAAATAATATAAATACTTTCAATTATTGTCTTAAGGATCCAAGCAATGAATCACTTTATAGGTAAAAATTACCATATCTGGAGATGCTTTGTTTTTCAACATTTGAAACTTCAATTTATAAATCTAGTTTTAGAGGAGATAGCTGTTCTTAAGTTATAATTTTTGTACTTAATTTTAAAAATTTATTGAAATTCTAAAAGAAAGCTTTCCACTATAGGTTATGGCCATTGCTCCAACCCATTATATATGGCAACGAGAACGCTCTGTGCATCACAGTGGAGCTGTTAGAAACTACAACAGAGATGAAGTTCAGCTGCCCCGGGGACCTAGTGCTACACCGGTAGATTGCTCACTCTGTGGTAAAAAAGGAAGATATGTTAGACTGGGATTGTCTTCATCATCATCTTTATCAAGTGATACAGTAGAGGTGATGGAAAAACATTCTCAGGAATCACACAACCCATTCTCAATGGGCACAGTAGTTGATCCTTCTCGAGCTTATAGCTATTCTCAAGGTATGATTTAGTGATATGTCAGAATTAGATTTATGAAAGTTATTAATAAATCCAAGTTAGTTATTGACCTACAGGCAGTGATCATAACATACACTACAATAATATGAGTTAAATTAGTATTGAAAGTTTTCCCCTTTTCAGTTACTTTTTGTCTTGTTACTGTTTTTGTTGGTAACTTACGTAAACTAAAACATTTTTAATGTGATTTATGTTAAAGTGAAACCTAATCACCATGGCTCTCAAGTATTTTAAGTATTAAGTATTTTACGAGCTTTTGAAATGTTTATTCAAAAGAAGTTTTAAGAAGAAAATAAATGTACTTATAATCTCATCATCTAGTTTTATCAGTGATTAACTATTGGTTTTCTTCTATACTTTTTTTTTTGTTTTAAAAGTTTAATTAGGACTATACTATAAAGTTGAAAAGGAAACACAGAAGTCCTTTGTCTTACCCCTTCTTTTTTCCTACACACTTTAAAAAATTGAGATATGTCCTGGCCGGTTTGGCTCAGCGGTTAGAGCGTCGGCCTGTGGTCCAGAGAGACCCGGGTTCGGTTCCCGCGAAGGGCATGTACCTCGGTTGCAGTTAGTCCCCGGCCCTGGTTGGTTGTGCGGGTGGCAGCCACTCGATGTGTCCCTTTCACGTCGAGGTTTCTCTCTCTCTCTCTCTCTCCCTCCCATTCTATCTGAACAAAAAATGGAAAAATGTCCTCAGGCGAAGATAAAAAACAAAATTGAGATATAATTGACATATAACATTGTATTAGTTTTGGGTATACAATGTGATTTGATATGTATATATTGCAAAACAATTACCACAAGTTTAGTTAACATTCACCACCACATAGTTACAATTCTTCTCTTATGATGAGAACTCTGAATATCTGTTCTCTTAGTAACTTCCAAATATACAGTACAGCCCTGGCCAGTTTGGCTCAGCGGTTAGAGCGTCGGCCTGCGGTCCGGAGAGACCCGGGTTCGGTTCCCGCTAAGGGCACGTACTTCGGTTGCAGTTTGTCCCCGGCCCTGGTTGGTCGTGCGGGTGGCAGCTACTCGATGTGTCCCTTCACGTCGATGTTTCTCTCTCTCTCTCCCTCCCACTCTATCTGTACAAAAATAAATAAATAAATATACAGTACAGTATTGTTAACTGTAGTTACCATGCTGTACATTACATTCCCAGGACTTAATTTATCTTATAACTGGAAGTTTGTACCTTTTGACCACCGTCATCCATTTTGCCCACCCGCCCCCCTCACCCCTGCCTCTGGAGACCACCAGTAGGTACTCTATGAGTTCAATTTAGTTTTTTTGTTTTTTCTTTAGCTTCCACGTATAAGTGAGATCACGTGGTATCTGTCTCTCTTTGTCTAACATTTCATTTGGCATCATGCCCTCAAGGTCCATCCACGTTGTCGAAAATGGCAGGATTCCCCCCTCCCCACAATATTCCATTGTATACTTATGTCATGCTTCCTTTATCCATTCATCTGTCAATGGACACAGACTGTTTCCATGTCTTGACTATTGTAAATAATGCAGTAATAAACATGGGGGTGCAGATGTCTTTTCAAGGTAGTGATTTTATTTCCTTCAGATAAATACCCAGTAGTGATATTGCTGGATATGGCAGTTCTATTTCTAATTTTTTAAGGAGACTCCATATTGTTTTCCATAGTGGCTGTGCCAATTTACATTACCACCAACAGAGTACAAGGGTTCCCTTTTCTCCACACCCTCACCAACACTTATTTTGTGTCTTTTTTGATAATAGCTATTCCAGATATCTCATTATGGTTTTGATTTGCATTTCCCTGATAATTAGTGATGTTGAACACCTTTTCATGTACTTGTTGGCCATTTGTATGTCTTCTTTTGAAAAATGTTCATCTCCTATGTCCATTTTTAAATTAGTTTGGTTTTTTTTCCTATTGAGTTGTATGAGTTCTTTATATATTTTGAATATTAGCTCCCTATCAGATATATAATTTGCAAGCATTTTCTTCTATTCCGTAGGTTGCCTTTTCACTTTGTTGAAAGTTTCCTTTGCTATAAGCTTTTTAGTTGATGTCTCACTGTTTATTTTTGCCTCTTTGCTTTTGGCATTTAAAAAAAGAAGAATTGCCAAGACCTATGCCAAGCTTACCTCCTGAGTTTTATGGTTTCAGATCTTACATATAAGTCTAATGCTAGCAGATTTTTGTGCATGGCGTAAGAAAGACAGTGGTCCTGTTTAACTCTTTTGCAGTGTTTCCAATACCATTATCCTTTCCCAATTGCACATATAGTCTTGGCTCCTTTGTTGTAAATTAATTGACCATAGATGTGTGGGTTTATTTCTGGGCTCTATTCTGTTCCATTGATCTAAGTGTCTGATTTTATGCCAATATGATATTATATTGATTACTATAGCTTTGGAATACTATACACGTTTTCTACTTTCTATTTTAAAAAAATAAAACCATACTATATCTAGGCCTGCTTTTTTTTTCACTTATCATAAAAACATTTCCCCATATAATTATTTAGGCTTTGAAAACCTTATTTTAAAATCATGACATGGTACAAGTACCATAATTTATTTGCATACTTCATTTTTGTTGGGATTTAAGTGGTTTTGAACAGTGGTATTTTATATAAGAAAATAATCATACAAACCAGAAATACATTTAGTCAATCATACAAATTTTTATTTAAATTATATTGATAAAGGTATAGTATTTCTCTGACATTTCTCAATTTGAAACAGAACCAGAATAGTATTCTACTAGCAGTGATCCTTTTAACTTCTTATAAAGCCTTTCTTCCAAATTTTCACCCATCCAAAGACAGAACTGACAGATTTCTTATGGTTCTTTCTAACTTTATGAAACCCACATTATTTCAGAATTTCACCAATTTTTTTTTTTACCTAATCCTTATGAGATTAACAGTGGCCACTGAAGTTTTACTTAAAGAGAAACTAGAATCTTAAGATTCTTGAAGAAAGTAGGGGTCATGTCTCAGTCATTCTTCCATTTCCTGGTCTTAGTAATCACTACACAAACTTGATGAAATATGTATGTAGTTTATTCCCTTGCAACACCTCCAAGCATAATTTTTATTGGTTCACTCAGATTTGAAGGTAAATAGGGTCAACCATAGGATAAATACAATAAGAATTTATTTCTAGCATCCCTCCCCTCTTTCCCAATTTGTTTTACCTATGTTCTTTGATCCTTGTAATAGGTAAGATTTACTAGATATTTAAAATGTTCCAGGCAATGTGTTAAGCATTTTACATTATAATCTTATTTATTTATTTTTATTAATTTTTTAATTTTTTTTGTTACAGATGTTACTTTTTTACCCCATTGACACCCTCCTCCCGACCCCCACCCCCGCCCCGTCCCTAGCTTTGTTGTCCATGTCCATTGGTTATGCATACATGCACATAAGTTCTGTGGTTTATCTCTTCCCAAGCCCCCAACCCCTCTTCTGAGGGCTGTCAGTCTGTGCCCTACTTCCATGTTTCTGGGTCTACCGTATTCCTCAGACTATTATGTTCATTATATTCCATATATAAGTGAGATCATGTGGTATTTGTCTTTTTCTGCTTGGCTTATTTCACTTAGGATAATACTTTCCAGGTCCCTCCATGTCATCTCAAAGGATAAGAGATCTTTCTTTCTTACAGCTGCATAGTACTCCATTGTGTATATGTACCACAGCTTTTTTATCCATTCATCTACTGATGGACACTTGGGCTGTTTCCAGAACTTAGCTATTGTAAATAGTGCTGCTATGAACATAGGGGTACATAATTCTTCCTGATTGGTGTTTCAGGCTTCTTACGGTATATTCCTAGAAGCGGGATCACTGGGTCAAATGGAAGTTCAATTTTTAATTTTTTGAGGTAACACCATATTGTTTTCCATAGTGGCTGCACCAGTCTGCATTCCCACCAGCAGTGTACTAGAGTCCCCTTTTCTCCACATCCTCGCCAACACTTGTTTGATGATTTGTTGATGGCGGCCATTCTGACAGGTGTGAGGTGATACCTCATTGTTGTTTTAATTTGCATCTCTCAATCATCAAAATGGAAAGGCAACCCACTGTATGGGAGAACATCATTGCAAATGATATATGAGATAAGGGGTTAATTTCCAATATATAGAGAGTGCTCATACAACTCAACAAAAGGAAGATGAACCCAATTAAAAAATGGGCAGAGGAGCTGAATAGACACCTCTCCAAACAGGACATACAAATGCCCAAGAGACATATGAAGAAATGCTCAACATCATAATCTTATTTAAAATTCACGGCCAACCCTAAGGTAAATCCTTTTATCTCCACTTTGCAGATAAAGCAATTGAGGCTTAGAGAGGTTAAACAATTTGTCGAAGGTGGTGGAGTGACATTTGAACTCAGATCTGATTCTAGACAAGAGCCTGAATTCCTAACTATTATGCTTTACTACCCCCTTTGATGAAATCCTGCCTTTGTGGTAAAAATAAGCTGCCACACAAGTCTTTCAGCAGACTACTAAGGACTAAAGAATGGTGAAAGCATTAAGTAAGAACCAAGTCCCCAATGAAAGGTTATATGGAGTGAATTGGGAGAGAATGTCAACCACAATTTAAACAGATATTAATAGAAAGCAGAACAGACACATTATATTTTATTCAAACTAGCTCCTGTAGATATCAAGAGTACTAACAGTATATTTTAGGCTTTGGTATCTCAACAGGAAATCAGTGCACCCAGGGAATAGGGCTCTGCCAGTCAGCTTGCTTTGAAGAAAAAAAAAAAAAAAGCAGGTCTTTGAGGGATTGTGGATGAAAAGTACAGCACTTAACTTAGGGAGTTGTAAATCGAACTGTGCCTTCACCCTGTCCCTTGATGAAAGCCTTGAAGCCTGGTTTAGGATGCACAGGCCCTATACAGGAAGAAACAGGTATTTACTCGTCAATTGTTTTTTTCAGAGTATTGACTCTAGAATAAATGTTAAGGCCTTTTGTTTCAGGATGACAGAGGGTAGAAAATACAAAGAAAATTATTCATACACTTAAACATTTACATTTATTTTCCCTCAAAAGGCTTAACAAGGGAGTGATCTATTTGGGGGAAGGGAGAGTAAAAAGGGGAGGGTGGTTTAAGGGTAACACAATGTTATCAGGAGCAATGGTCAGACTCTCACTGCCTCAGCAGCTGCTGATTCCCTGTAGTGACCTCTGCTAGCAAAATTTTCTTCCTCCTATCAACATGAAGGTGGTTGGAATCACTGAACAGTTTGTGGTTGCAGAAAATTAAGTTCAGTACTCTCCAAGAGACACAAAGAACTGATGCTCTGCTCCAGGCTTTTATGCTAAAACTTAGCAATAGGTGGCTACCAATGCTTTCCTCTTTCTTTCAAACACAAGCAACTAACTACTCACTTTTCAGGTAAAACATGTTTTTCTACCTTTAAAATTCTTTCCTCAAACCAAAGTGTTCAAAAAACAAGTTTTATATAAACATGTTTATGACATTAAGAACAAAGTATTTTTCATTTTGACAAGGCTAGGGGGGATAGAAGAGGCATTCTTTACAAATTTAGATAACATCACAATCATTAATCATGTGGTAGGCACTTTATAAAGATAAAGTCTTATTTAACTCCTGACCTGTCCCTCCAAAATCTTTGAGTGGCATTATGATACTCATTTTAATGATGAAACAAACTCAGAAATGTCACAGTTGCAAGGTAAAACAACAGCAACAACAAAAACAGCAAGATGGGAACCCAGTTTTAGCTGAATATACTGCATATTTTTATACTAACTAAACTAGTTGACCCTTAAGCAACGTGGGTTTGAACAGCATGGGTCCACTTATGTGTGTGGCTTTTTCTTTCAATAAATACAGTAAATGTATTATCCTTACAATTTTCTTAACATTTTTTCTCCAGCTTACTTTAATAATACAGTATATAATACATATAATATATAAAATGTGTTAAGTGTTTGTTATTGGTAAGGCTTCCCAGTCAACAGTAGACAATTAGTACAGTCTGTCCTTGTTTCCACTGATTCCTAACCCTGGATTGAAAATACTATTTCAATCTGCAGTTGAATCGTGGATGTGAAACCTGCAGACACAAAGGGCCGACTGTAGTTAGGTTAAGTTTTTGGGAAATCAAAAGTTATACCTGGATTTTTGACTGTATGGGGGGTCGGCACCCCTAACCCCCACATTGTTAGAAAGTCAACTATACATTGTTTCTCTTTACCTTATGCTGTCTTAAGCCTTATGACACGTAGGCTAGTCATCTGAAACTTGGATATGTATTAGTATGTATTACCTAATGACTCCTCAGATTATAGAGTGAAGCCAAGGAAAAAAACAATATACCGAACATTAGTCCTGAGTCTTATAGGCAGGCATGGGACGACATAATTTATATAATCTAAAACCAAATCATTTTTCCTCAAAAATCCTTCTTTGAACTTTATTTTTGTCACAACTATTCTAGTCATCCAGGTTTAAAATCCTTACACTTAAGTCATAATCAGGGCTTATAAATTAGTTATGTGATAAGGGCAATGCTAATTATATGATCAACATTTAGGAGCACAAAAGACTCCATAATTCCGTGGGTTGAGAGACTTAGTGAAGGCTTTTCAGAGGAAGTATATGAGCTGGTTATTGATTGAGTCCAGTTTTTCCCAGAGAAGTAAGAAAAAGTTTCTGAATAGAGGATAAAAATTTGAAATAATAGAGCTTTCCTGCTACATCCAATAAATTACCAGCTTATTTGGTTCTTCTTTCACAAATATATTTTTTTACATTTGCCTCCTTTCCTCGCCTTATTATTGTTTATTACTACCTCATAGTTGTATACTATGTGCTACTATGAAATATTTTAAGTTTTTTCCTTCCTTTAAACACTCAGATACCACTAAAAGATTAACTTTTAAAAATTATCTCCTTTTACATGACAATGGAACCTTCAAAAGTTCTCTATTGCCTCTGAAGTATCAAGTTTAAACTTAAGGTCTTCCACAATCCTAGAAGCTATACACTTAAAGGTTCCTCGAGACAACCAAGGCAACAGATGAAATAATACATGATCAAGTGTAGGCTTAAACTGCAAACTGCCCCGCCGGTGTGGCTCAGTGGCTTGAGCATTGTTCCATGGACTGAGAGGTCCCGGTTCCATTCCCAGTCAGAGCACAAACCCAGGTTTCAAGCTTGATCCCCTGTAGGGCACGTGCAAAAGGCAGTCAATAAGTCTCTCTCTTAAAAAAAAAACCACAAAACACCAGCAAACTTGAATCGACCATATCATATACTTGGTAAAAAAAAAAAAGGCCAGGGCCCCTGGCAGGCCCTGGGAAGACAGCTGTAAGTCATTCACAAATCTTTAGTTCACAGTACTAGAGACAGACATAAACACAGAAATCTAACTTTAGAAGAAGGTATCTGTCCTGTTAAGTTAGACTGTAAACATGCTTAGTGTTTGATGGAGAGATGGGGAAAGGACTTAAGCTAGACTTTGATTAACTATATACATAAATGTTTATTTGCTTATGTAATCTGGTTGTCAACTCAAAGTTAGAATGGACACTGTCAGAGAGGTCTTGTTCAATTCAACATCTACTGAGCACAGTGTACTAAACAGAAACTATTTTACATGAAATAGGAGTAGAAGGCACAACTTTTCTTTGCTCTTAAGCCAGCACCTTCTCCAATAGTATAATTAAGGTCTGCATTCAAAACAATAAATGAAAGAACTTTGCTGCTAAACAGAAGGGCAGAAGAAAAGGGAATATTCCATGATGGGATTTAAATGTGTACTTCAGAGCTTCTATCAAGCCATTATTGTACTAGTGTTCAGATACTTACCATACAGAAATATAGTACTAGAACAGTCAGTCAGTCCTTCAAATGCAGCCAGAATGATTTCTTTCAAAACAATTCTAAGCATGTTATCCCTTCATTAAATCTTCAGTGCTACCCCATTTTTCATAGGATAGACAAACTCTTTCACAGGTCTATAAAATCCTGTATAGCCTGACCCTTACCTATCTTTCCAGTTTGTTCCACTCAACCCCAACATCACTGGTCTTTTTGTTCTCATTTTCCCCACTGTAACTCCTACTTACCATTCAGGTCTCAGCTCAGTTGTCCTTCACAGGTAATTACTAAACTACAGCAAAACCCCTATTACAGCACCCTGTCTTTCTTTGGAGCATATATAACAGTTTTAGTTTTAATCATGTAAGTTTAGTTTTAGTTTTATATTTATATGATTAATGTCTAACTCTACCATAGACTATAAAGTCTAAAGGCAGAGATTTTAGGTTAAAAATTTCCACATAATGAAAATTCTGTAAAATGTTATTTAGAATGTATATATTATTTTAAACAGTTCTAGGTAAGGGATCATTCCAGGCATAGCATTTATCCTCCCAGGCATTCCTACTTTAATTAATTAATTAATTTATTTATTTAAAAATCCTCATCCGAGGATATTTTTTTCTATTTATCTTCAGATAGATTGGGAGGGAGGGAGAGGGAAAGAGAGAGAGAGAGAGGAACATTGATGTGAGAGAGACACATTGACTGGTTCCCTCCCACATGACCCTGACAAGGGCTGGGGACAAACCACAATCGAGGTACATGTCCTTAATCAGAATCAAACCCGAGATTCATTGGTCCATGGGCCAACAGTCTAATCGCTGAGCCAAACCGGTCAGGGCAGCATTACTACTTTAAAACCTATAAAATATCTATGTTTAAACAACAACCTAGCCACTCTAAACATTTGTTTATCTGTAAAATATGGATAACCTTAAAAATGAACAATACAGCCCTGGCCGACTGGGCTCAGCGGTTAGAGCATTGGCCTGTGGTCCAGAGAGACCCGGGTTCAGTTCCCGCAAAGGGCGCGTACCTCGGTTGCAGTTAGTCCCCGGCCCTGGTTGGTTGTGCAGGTGGCAGCCACTCGATGTGTCCCTTTCACGTCGAGGTTTCTCTCTCTCTCTCTCTCTCTCTCTCTCTCTCCCTCCCTCCCTCCCTCCCATTCTATCTGAACAAAAAATGGAAAAATGTCCTCGGGTGAGGATAAAAAAAATAATAATAATAATAAAAAAAAAAGAACAATACATACTAAATGAAAAAACTATTAAGTTATTAAAACAATGTAAGGCACATATAATTGGTGCCTATGTATAATAAGCTTTAGTCCTAATTAATTCATACTTATAAAGTATATTTCTCCAAGCATTTAATTTATGTAATAACAAGAATTCTGATGTTCTTTTAAAATGATTCTGAGAAGGATAAAAGTGATGACAGAATTGTTAAATTTTTTGTTACAATTTTTAAGGTGATTATATCATTCCTATCAGTTTTCCCCTATTATTTACTATACAGTCGTCCCTCGCCACTTCGCGCTTTGACTTTCGTAGCTTTATTGAGATTTTTTTCAAATACAGTACTGTAACGCAGATTTCTCTGTCATTTTTAAGATACAAGCCATTAAAATATGTATTTAAAATACAGATACATAAAATTTACCGTAAAATGCATATTTTATTTCAGTAGCCAATGACCATCAATCAAACAAAGAAAAGAAAACTAATTTCATGAAGAAAGACAAATCTATGGAGTGGTTTACAGGAAGTGAAGAATGAGATGGCTCAACTAAACCAACCTGGAATCATTAACTACAATATGACAAACTGACTATAAGACAAGTGTCAAAAGGGACATTTAAGCAGTTTTGAAATGTTACACATCTTTTAGCTTTTGTTATTTTTCAAAATTATATGTAAAAGTTACAATCATATTGAGCTAAAAATACCAATCTATTGAAAGTAATGATTTGCAATATAAAGTTCTATTTTGATACTTTTCTGTCTTCAAATCAGTTGCTGTCATCTGAGGTACTCAGTTGTGGTTTGAACTTCCTCAACTTGACAAGAAAAGCTGATTTAAGGGGAAAAAAAGTAAGGTCATTATAATAATTAGAGGAAAACACCACTTAATGTTACCTGAAAACATTTACTCACCTGTGTGACCTGTTTGCCAGTGTATAGGTCTAGCAATATAGGGAAATGATCCATATGGAAAATCAGAATGTGATTCTTCTGTTATAGAACAAAATAAATATTGTAAGCTATATAAAATATTTCATAATTTGTTCAAATATTTCAAAACTGTTAAATTACAATTAATGACCCTTTACTGTAAGTTTTTCTTTCACATATTTTTTTAGCATTTTGTTCTGTAGCTACTATGCCAGTTATCTTACAGAAAAAAATCTATCAAGGATTACATGATAAACTTATATATGGGGTTTTATAATCAAATAGATAAACTCATATAATAAATCAAGGGATATATGAAAATTTGTTGATAGCCTAAATAATGTGTACATACAAGGGCCTAAATTTAGAGAATTCTAGCAGCATAAAGCAAATATTAGTTATTTGCATTGCAAGCCCTATGAAATTATTTTCCTTCAGTAATAATCACTGATCTAAATTTTAAAATTCTTTAGTTTATATATAAAGTATTTCAAAAGACAACCTCCTTGTCACAAGTGAAATATAAATAGTATAAGAAGCTAAGTTCTTCAAAGATATCAGAGCTTTACATAAAAGGCAAGCAGTCATTCTGTCCCTTACAGATTTTAATTTAACAGCATAAATATCACATTTAAATTGGTTTAGATACAAAAAAAAATCCCTGAGAAATATTTTTATAATTACAATTTGTTGGTCAATACACTCAGGAAACCATTCTCCATTTATTATTGTAAACACATGCATAAAATAAAATTGAAGCTCACCATGGTCATCCTCTTGAAACATCTCACCTTCAATTCTAATTTTCTTTTGAGAATGTAATTGTAAATCCATGTTGATTTTAGGTTCTACTTTTTGAGCTAAAATTCCTTTTTTCTGTTTTGCAAGGCAAACCAACCAATCTCTGACAATGACTTCGCTTATCTTTTCACATGAAAGAGCAAGTTTACAGATGCGAATTCCATCTAAAAGTTCAATAACCTGTGTGATACTTTCAGAAAAGTAAAAGATATTCTTTAAATTCTTGTACAACTTTATATTTCAATTTCCTATACCTCTTATCCAAATTTAAATGCTATTAAATAAAGGGGGGAAAGTAAAAATGCAAGTTAGGGCACATAATAAGCAACTTCACAGAATACTAAGTAAAAAATATAGAGAACATAATTTAACGTTATTGTTCATATTATACATTTAAAACATTTCTTCTAAATTGCCAGAAGAAATATGCATCTTATATTGCTACTTATACAATGGATGATTTAAACAGCAATATAAATGATTTGGGACATATGTTGTTTCCTAAGGTTTACGAGATGATGTACTTATCTAACTCAGTTACAAAATGAACATGTGTTTAAAATCACATTAAAGTAATATTCACATTACTCACTTTGCTAGATATACAGCACATATACCACCCTGTTTAAGATTTGGGTATAAAACAGGCAAAGCAACTTGAGGATTCAACATATCCAAAGCTACCTGTAGAGGGAAAAGAGAATCAGACTGAGTTCTGTTTAAATAAAGCATAGGTTTTCTTTTTAAATCATGGTAAAATGATCCAATTTTGGAAAGCACGTACCCAGTTAAAGTATTTAATTTTTTAGAATATAGTAGTACTAACTGTCATTTTACTACTCCTCAAAAGATATATATCTATTATACAATTTGTCACAGTACTTAACCACATAAAAACTGTAATGGCATGTCTTGCACTGTTCAATACTGGTAATTAAGGAATCGTTCTTTAGCTATATTTTATACACGTACATATAGGGTGGGGCAAAAGTAGGCTTATAGCTGTGAGTGCATGAAACAGTTTATTCTTGTACTATTTATTATTTCCCAAACTGTAAACCTACTTTTGCCTCACCCTGTATATACAAAGTTTCAATGCTTTAGCTGAGCTTTTGTCAATAGAAATTCATGTTATCTCAAGTATGTTTTTTATATTCAAAAGAAAAGTTCTGAATATTAATTTTAAGAGATTCTAAAATGTAAGAATCATGTCCCTTATTTGTTTTCCTTTTTTTAAATAAGGAAACTTATTTAAATAGTTAACAGCCCTGGCCTAGTAGCTCAGTTAGAGCATTGTTCAGATACACCAAAGTTGCAGTTGGATCCCGGTCAGGGCACATACAAGAATCAACCAACGAATGTATAAATAAGTGGAACAACAAATCAGTGTCTCTCTCTCTCTCTCTCGTAAATAAAAATAAATAAGTAAATAGCCCTGGCCGGTTTGGCTCAGCCGTTAGAGTGTCGGCCTGTGGTCCCAAGAGACCCGGGTTCGGTTCCCGCTAAGGGCATGTACCTCGGTTGCAGTTTGTCCCCGGCTCTGGTCAGTCGTGCGGGTGGCAGCCACTCGATGTGTCCCTTCACGTCGATGTTTCTCTCTCTCTCTGTTCCTCTCTCGCCCTCCTACTCTACCTGAACAAAAAATGGAAAAATGTCCTCGGGTGAGGATAAAAAATAAAATAAATAAATAAGTAAAGAAAAAGAAAGTTAACAGAGGTAGTGGAAGTGCACTAGCTGGGCTGCCTCGGCTCAGGAAACAAGTTACAGAAGCAAAAGAAGGGTCCTTGGAGCTTAGGGGAGAGAAAGGCAAAGGTAATGTGCCTGGGGGAAAGAGGAGGGGGATGGGAAAGGCACCCATATCTCTTTATTCTTTATTCAATTGCAGAATACAGGGCTGTACTCACAAAAGATGTGAAATGAATACCGTGAGTAAATAAAATTTTCCAAAAAAAAGTACTGAAAAACTAAACAAATATGGTCAAAATAGAAAATAAAGTGACTATTATTGAAAGAATTCCAGACAGCTGAGTAGTTGGCACATCAATATATTTACTAAATTAGAAGTTATTCTATTGATGATGTTTTAATCCCCACCAGAGGATATTTTTTCCATTGATTTTTTTTTTTTTTTAGAGAAAGTGGAAGATAAAGAGGGAAGGGGAGAAACATCGATGTGAGACACATCTATTGGTTGCCTCCCACACATGCCCCGACTGGCCTGGGACCAAACCTGCAACCTAGGTACATGTCCTTGACCAGGAATCAAACCTGACAACCTCTGGTGTGTGGGACGATGCTCTAACCACTGACCCACACCAGTCAGGGCAAGGGTGTGTTTTTTTTTGAAACAGTATTAAGGGGTCAAGAAACATGATCATTAATTTATTCACCACCTATCTGAGCACCTTCCATGTGCCATGCATTTTGCTAAGTGGTAAGGATATAACGGGAGATAACATACTATTTTATTTCATGGAACTTATATTCTAATAAAGGGACAGACAGACTTTAAACAAATATCTGATAAATATGTAAGTCAGAGGGTCATGAGTGACATGAAGACCTATAGAATTATAAAGCAGAATATGAGGGACAGAGAGTGACAGGGCAGGGAAAGAAAGTGCTATTTATACATAGCCTGGTCAGTGAAGAGACCTGAAGAAAATGATTAACCTTATTCTTGGAAATTTAAGAGGGAAGTGTGCTCCAGGTGGAGAGACCAGCAAATACAAATGCTCTGAGGCTGTACAATACTTGGTGAGTCTGAGAAGGCCACTGTCGCTGCAGTGGAGACAAAATGGGGAAGATAGTAAGAGATGAATTCTTAAATGGTGGGAATGTGGTGAGAGCAAGAGAGGGGCAGATTAGGTAGAATCTTATGGGCGTTAACTTTATTAAGGAAGTGAAAAGCCATCGGAGAGCTTTAAAGAATGATACAATCTAACTTTTTAAAAAAACTTTTCTCATAGTAAACATAACAAAACTTGCTATTACAAGTGCATAATTTAGTGGTATTGTGTACATTATGACTGACTTTTAAAAACTATATAGAAAAGACTGGGAGCCCAGCTGGTGTGGCTCAGTGGTTGAGCGTCGACTCATGGTTGGTTCCTGGTCAGGGCACATGCCCAGGCTGTGGGCCTGATCCCTGGTGGGGGGCATGTTCGATGGCCAATCAAAGTGGCCAGTCGATGTTCTCCTTCATCAATGTTTTCATTTCTCTCTCCCTCTCCTTTCCTCTGTCTCTAATACAGCAATAAAGAAAAAAAAAAAAAAGACGAGGAGAGAGCAAGGAAGGATAATGATGGCTTGCAACAGCAAACAGTATTGGATGTGATGAGAAGTAGTATACATTTTGAAAAGGTAAAAGCCAAATAGCATTGGCTGTGAGATGTGAGAGAAACACAGGGGTCAGAATGAATCCAATGTTTTTAGCCTAAACCTCTGAAAGAATGGAGATGTCATTTACTCATGAGGAAAATGATGAAGACTATGGGAGAAGCAAGCGTGGGGAGAAATAATCAAAAATTCAGGTTTAGACATGAGTTTAAGTTTTCTATTAAATATCCAAGTAAAGATCTTAATGACTGAATTAAAGGATCAACATGATGGACATAAGTAGCTTTCTTCGACTGTAGTTTTACTATATTGTTGACAAGGACCAAAAATCAGATAGCCAAGAAACCTGCCAACCTTCTTCAATGCTCTATTCTCAGTACATATTAACTATTCATCCAGTTACTCAAACCAGATACTTGGAGTCATTTTCTTGAATTCTCTTTGGAAAATTTGTAGGGTTTTATGCTTCTGTTGGGATTAAAATGATCCTGTCCCACAAATCTACCTCTTAAGCATTTCTCCAAGTCATCTACTACTAATGCCTTAGTTCAAGACCTCATCATATCTTTTTTTTTTTTTTTTTATCCTCACCCGAGGATATTTTTCCATTTTTTGTACAGATAGAGTGGGAGAGAGAGGAAGGGAGAGAGAGAGAGAAACATCGACGTGAAGGGACACATCGAGTGGCTGCCACCCGCACGACCAACCAGGGCCGGGGACAAACTGCAACCGAAGTACGTGCCCTTAGCGGGAACTGAACCCGGGTCTCTCCGGACCGCAGGCCGACGCTCTAACCGCTGAGCCAAACTGGCCAGGGCAAGACCTCATCATATCTTGTTGAGACATGACAATAGCTTTCTATATAGACTCACAGCCTTCATTCTTACACCAGAATTATTCTAAATGAGGAATCTGAACATTCTACTCCCCTACTTAAAAACTCAGTAGTTTCCATTATCTACAAGATAATGTCTAATCCCCCCTAACATGATATATATATAACTTGATATAGTCCCTTATGACCGCATTCGCAGCATCATCTCATCACACCCAATTCTACAACCATGGTATTTCATGCTTCTGAGTCTTTTTAATAAGTGTTAATATGGCTATCTTCTAGATTGAAAGCTCCTTTAA